CTTCAGCCATACCTTGGCTGCAGCAGTGAATCAGTCACCACGCTCTCCTCATCCCACCACCTTTCACGTATATGATGGTGTGTTCTGTCCCTCCCCAGCCACGGGTCAGAGTGAGAAATTCCTATGGAACACATATTCTTTCCAGAAGGCCCAGGGGCCTTCCTCAAAGGAAGAGAATTTGTAGATCTTTGGGTTGATGCTCCCCAGGTAAAAGTCTTTGAATTACTAATGTAACAGGCAGCCTGTTTGTATACAACTCTCTTATTTCACCTCAGAGCTCTACAGCAGCTTCTTACTAACTTGCAGTAGAACTCTTGAGCATCTTTCATGTGTCAGTGGTGAATTTCAGCTATGAATGAGTACAATTTCCACTGGTCCTGGGGTGCAAATCAAGATGATCCTGTTAGATCCTAACAGGATGAAAGGCAGAACCCACGATACCTGGTGGGTAGAGCAGCTGACAGGGTCCTTTCAATCACCACCTGGGTAATATTAAAACAATGACACTAAATTTCTGCCTTCTGCCTTCCTTTGTTGCTTAGCCAGCACACTCATGGATCTTTTTTGTTTCACTTGATATGCAGTGATTTCTGCTTGGGCCCTTATTTTAGAGCTTGTCCTAAAGCTCAGCAAAGTCTTTTCTCTGAGTTCAGAGGGTTTTGGACCAATGTGCTGCATGAACAAGCAAAAACATACAGTATACTTTTCCATCTTCCCCCATTTTCTTCTCCTTCTGTTCCACATGTCTACCTGCAGGTGATATAATTTACCTTAGATTGGAAGCAAACTAGCAAGATCAGCTGGTGTGGGGCAATGATCTCTGCATCCAGCAGCCTTAACAGTTGGCAAGTGGTTTTGTCTAAAGCATCCCAACAAAGAAGAATCTGGCAAAGAAATGAGGTGGATGTTTTGAAAGTACAGGACATGACTGAAGAAAGCTCACATCAGGGTTTGTGTTGCTACAGAATAAGAGCAGATGCTAAGGTGAGGATGTGCATCATCCTTGATTTTGTGTGTAGTAAAGACAGACAGGAGTGGAAAGGGATTAAACAGTGTGAATGTACAGATCCCGTGTACAAGGGAAATAAATACAGTTTAGTCCCTTAGTGATAAACTAGGTAGACCTGAGTGTTGGATGAGAACCAATCTTGATTGCTGCCTAAAAACACTTAGAAACAGGTAACCCCAAAGCAGACACATTTGAGAAACGTATCTTTCTGTGTACTAGCTTTATTGCAGGCTTTTGTCCTCAGCAACCTCTGTAATCCTGGTCTGTAAATTCACACACTGCTGCTTAGTGGAGATGGAAATGACACAGCTGAAGATGAGCTTCCCCCACCTGAGTGGTGTGCTAACTTCAAAGGTTAGCTTTGATTATTTAAATGCTAATAGAACTCAAATTACAACACACCTGGCTTCAGTCCTCAGGACCTAATTATGGAGCCTTTTATGTGACAGAAATGGCTCTTGCTTTCTGAAATGTGGCTTTTTAGAATGCTCACATAAAATGCCAGGTGATGGGAGGCACATTACCAGCTCAGCCTCTGTGGAACTGGAGCTCTTCTCTGTTTCTTATTCATCTTCTGTCGTTCTGTTCCTGAGTGCTCACAGCTCAGTCTTCAACCTCCTCTGACCTCTGTTATTTTATCTGCAGATAATTTCAACAACCCACAGTTTATGTTTAGTTTGGTGTAGCTGAGTTTGGAAACAGGCTGAGGATGTTCAGGAAACCCTCAGCACCACTTGCCCTTCATAGATTTTCAGTGAGATTTCAACATCAGGAAGCTTTATGCCTGTTAGAATGTGCCTGCTCCTAGAGTTAGAGAACAAGCTATCAGACTCAGGATTATTAGGAAGGAGACTGTAATAACCTTCCCATTAGCACCAACAGTCACAAGATACTTGCTTTTCATTGTTTGACACCATAATGTCCATGGGCTGTGAGGATTACCTCTTCCACCATACAGGTTGCACCTGAGCCAGCCCTGAAGCTCATGTGCCTGAAGAAGAACTCTATATAAGGAAGCTGGATGCTTCCTGTCAGGTTCTCACAAGTAAGCATGTTTGCTGCTTCTTAGTGTAAGTCATTTGTTGTGGTTTGGGGGAAAAGAAGTGAAAATATCTTCCTGACTGTGTAAAGGTGTGGTAGGTTAGAATAAAGAATCAGAAAGCTCTTTGGTCACATCTGTGTGGGGCAGAGGTCTTTGTGTAATGGAGGCTGCAGTAAGGGAGGGTGTTATCTCTATGGCCTAGCAAGACCTCAGACTTCCAGCAGAATTTGCACATGGATTACTGTGCAGTTTATGGGGCTCCATCTGGAAAGGCTGCTCACACTGATTAGTTTTAAGTATTAGTTTTAAGACATGCAAATCCTGTCTATTGATATGTGAATTATGCTGAAGACTGATTTATTCTTTCCTTCTCTATTCCTCACTTTAATTCTTCATCTGACAGGTGAAATGTTTCCTTTTCTTGTTGCTTTGCTAAGGAAGAGCAATATAGTACAAGAGATTTGTTATTTGAGCTATTCCATTGTTCAGGAGCTTATACTCAAGGGTGCCTATGTAAGTGATGAGCCCTCTCCTTGCCAGCAAGTGTCTGTGTAGGGCCTTTTCACTCTTGCTGCTGCTGCTTTGTTATCACAGTTAACTTGAACAGAATAAGTAGCAAGCAGCAGAAGACCTAAGAAGACCTATTAACTGGAGAAGCCTTCAGGATATATAGTTGAATTTCTGTTCAGGATTTGTGTTGGTAACTTTCTAACTACTGGTCTGAAGAGGGAAATATTCTGGAGGGTGGAAAAACCATAGGCATGTAGAATTAATGGTGATGTCTTAATGTGCAAGGTGTAAAGAGTAAAGGATGGCAAGAAGAAAGAGAGAGCAGCTGTTGGTAGCTTGTGCAAGGGGAGAGTACCTCCATTAAGAAATCAGTCTGTTCTTACTGGTTTCTGAGAGTCAGCTCTTAAGTGTTGAAGCATATGCTTATGCGCTTGTTGTACTGATGTCCTCTCCAGATCAAGTCTGTGGCATCAGGGTGGAAGTTATGTATAGAAAATAGCATGATAGGTGAATAAAGCTGTCTTTAGTTTGGCTCTGAATAGCTCTCCAACAGGTCCTGGATTGCTTGCATTCTATGGGAATTGTGGTTAGAAGGAGCAGAAGCAAATCATGGTGTTTAAGTGCCTGAGGCAGGCTCAGAAACTAGACCTCTGGCTGCTTTGTGCTAACAGGCTTTCCTGATGCAAGCTGAACTGCCAGAGACTCAGAGCACATGCAGCCAGATGGTTGCTGATGAGCTTGCTTTGCATATATGTTTGTACTCTGTTGCAGTTTGCATCCAGGGCTCCAGTTAGGAATAGGCTTATTACCAGCATATTTTCTTCCAGGAGCATCTGTCTTGTGGGCAAGAGAATGGGAGGAGTACGACTGTGTATCCCATCTGTCCGTTCCAAGCAAAAGGCTGGAAGTGAGCAGCTGGGCCTTCATTTGTGACCAATAGCATAGACACTGTGTGAGCAGAATCCTTGCTGATTCCCAGGGAGCTGCTTGCAGAGCTCAGCTCTCATCAAACTGGGATAGCGCAGTCATGAGACTGGCAAACCAGCCTTCATACCGAATTCCTTTGGCTCAGGTTGTTTGCCAAGTAGCTGTGCTCAGATTTGTTTGTAGTTAGATTCAGTGAATACTTGGTTTGCTTAAGAAATAGAATGGTCAAATACATGGTTTTTGGTGTAATCTTGACTTTTTTGTTTGAAAAATGCTTTGCAATGTCTGGATGTGCCTATGGAAGAGTAGGGTGCCCTCAAGCCTTCTTCACAGAATGGTCTAGTGGAAGGTGTCTGCCAATGGCAGGGGGTTGGAACCAGATGATCTTAAGGTCCTTTCCAAGCCAAACCGCTCTGTGATTCTGTACTAGTAAGAAGCAGTCATTTCCTCTGTCAGTGGCAGATCCAAATGCAGAGTAACAGCTTTCTACTGACGTCAGCTATACAGCTGCCCCTTTAGTTCAAATTGTGGTGGTCAAGGACATGGGGCTTTGTGTCCTGGTTTCTGATGACTCTGTTGTGCAAATGGCTCTATCTTCCTGTTATATTGATGTTTAGGCAGTACCTTAACTTCAGAATGGTTCTTTTGATAAAAAGAAGGATTTGTGAAATGCTGCTGAATTCGAGTGGGTTGTGCGTAACTGCAAACTGGGGCTCTGTTTCAGGCTCAGGAATGATACGTGAAAGAATCACAGCGAAAGTTGGAAGCAAATTCACCAAATTAGGGCAAACAGTTTATTATCTGTGCCATAACGAAACTTGTTTATTTATACATTTAGTGCACAACACAAATGTTTTCCATAATCAAATTTCAGATAGATGTTCACAAAATATTATTCTGATACAAATAGTCAGCACAGCAATGGTGTATTCAATTGGCCAAGTAATTCTGGGGAGAGAGGGGGTGCAGTTTGCTCAGTACATCATGTAGTAGATGGATTGGTGGAGCCAATATGAATAAGGGCTGAATATCTCATTGAAAAGCAACAGGTCCTTTGAAACCTCCAAGTCAGTCCTGTCAAGAAAGCAGAGGAATAAGTAAGATTAAATGGACAGGATTTCATGCATGGAAATTAACTGTTTTCTTGCTGTTCTAGGGCCAGGTTCAGCTCCCCTGTTCTGCTCAGAGTTTGATTGACACAAGCATCCCTGGGGAGCTGATGCAAACCTCTGTGATCTGCCTCCTGTGACAAGGTGACATGTGGATGGCTGACTCGGAGACAGGAGTGAAAGCAGGTAACAGAGATGTGGCATTCATGGGGTTTAAGTATACATCTGTTGACAGTGAATTCTGAGGTGGGTACAATTAGTAACCTGTGTGATAGGAGGGTAAAAGCTACTTTAAGGCACCTTTTCTTTAAAGCTGAATTAAATCTGCCCTTCTGCATATTTATGCAAGTTACACACTAACACATGGACCATGTGCTGCTTGCTTTCTCTTACCGTAGTAAGCAGTTAGCATCCCAGTCCACTCAGTGACCCAATTCTGTCCAGCTTGACACCAAAACAGCCCCTGGAGAGACCCTTTTTGCTTCTGCCTCGGTATCTGTGGGGTAAACTTAGGAGGCTGCTGAAGTATCTCTGGACAGCACTATCATCCATGGACATGCTCTCAGGCTGGTCCCTAGTGTTTTGAGTCCACTGGAATTCAGTGTCTTGCTGATCAAAGGGACCTCTTAGGATCATGTCATCTTGCTCATGCTCTGTCTCTTCTGAGAGCAGGGTATGCTCCAGGTCCTCATCTAGCAGCTTGGCTAGACCCTGAAAAAAAGGGAAAGGTAGATGATGGAGAGGGAGGAGAGGAGAAAAAGGAGGGGTTCTGGGGACACTCTCATTATGTTTGTATAAGCCAGGCTCTGTGCTAAGTTTGGAGAAACTTAATTTGAACATTTAGCAGAAGGTGAAAGTACAGAAGTGATTTCTGAAGCTGATGATAGTTATCTTTAGTTTCTTCTGGTTTACCAAGCTGCTCTGAACTAAGACTGTATGCCTTCTCAGAGTGCTCTAAGGCTTTATGTTGTTACCATGTTCTATAGTTCTGAGCTGACAAGCTGCCATGTAAGTTTTTCCTGGTGCTGGGGATTTGGGGTATGGGATAAGTTGTGAAAGATGATGAAAGAGTCAAGAGTGAATAGGGAACAAGAAAACATGGTTGGGATCTTGGAATAATGAGAAACACTGCAACCACAGGAAACGTGCTGAAATTGGTGCTGCAAGGATTATATATTTCTTTAGAGATTGGAAGGTTGCATTGTATTTGGAAATGCCAGATCCCAAGTCAGGTAACTGAAATGTGCTTCCCTAAAGACTTGTAATTCCTGCACACACAAATACATACAGGCACACACATGTACACACACTTCTCATGTTCTCCTGCTGGGGCACACAAGCTGGGACTGCATTACTGCACTGCTGAGCTGAGGAGGAGAGCATGCAGGTACAACCCATTCATTCCCTTTAAGCTTAAACCAGGGGCTTCAGGGAGGACCATGCAGGTGAGTGCTCTAGATCAGAGTCCTTCCAGAAAAATTCCTTTTGCTCCAAAAGTTTATTGCTTCATTCAGTCACAGGATGACCCGAAGTTTGCAATCCCCGTATTGATTCTACAGGGAAACATTTTGCTTTCAATTGCTTCGTGTGATCAGAAATTTAAATCCAGTAATTGATTACATTAGTTTCTCTCCATTTAATAACTCTGTCTGCCCACCTCAGGGTTCCTGCTCTCATGATCTCTTTGAGTGTCTCCTCCTGCTTTAGCTGGCATTGGAAGAAATGGAGTTAATCTGCAGTGTCTCAGTCCTAAAGAAGCAGCAGCTTCTTTCAGTTCTAGTGAGCAGCCCATCACTTACCTGTAAGCTGGAAACGGGCCTGGCCATCGCCTGGTTTTGACAGACAATAAGCAGCAGCAGGAGTCCAGGGCAAAACAGAAGTTTCCAGTTCATCTTCATGTTTTGGTGTCTCTGATTCCTCCTCTCCTTGAGTCTCTCCCGTTCAGTGCTGCTCTTTGCCTCCAGCTACCAGCCTTTATATCTTCCTCCAACCCCTCCCAAGTCTACCTTTTGAGTTCCTGCCAGTGCAAGGATTGGTTTGAGGTTCCGATCTGTTTCCATCCTCCCAGGAGGAGGAGGGAGGAAATAGTTCTTTTTTCTGATAGCAAATAAAAGGAGCATTTTACACTTAGGCAATGCAGCATCATTCTGCTGCTGTGAAACTGAAGGTCGCTTGCAGCCTGCTGTCTTGGTGCCACTTACGTATGTCAGTTTATTTAGCTTAGTGTTCCTTGGGTTGACTGCTAAACTTCTCCTTTCCGTCCAGAGAAAAACAATTGTGAGAGAAGTATAAAGTGAGGAAGGAAGCAAATTGTATCCACTGCATATTCACCTAACTCCTTTGTCACTGTGAAGTACCAAATCAGATGGACAAGGGTCATAAAACACACTGTCAGAACTAAGTGTTATATACATGTAACACAATATGGCATTAGTAACGTATGAGATGAAAGAGTGTGATTTGGAGAAGGAGGGAAATCAGAGTCTTAAAAACATGACAAGTAACTTGTATTAGTTACTGGCCTGAGTGGCAGAGAGTGTGCCTGAAACCAAGATGACATGCACAGAAAACTTCTGCATGGCTGAAGCTGAGGAAGAAATTCTTCTTTCTTTTCCTCTGGATCCAGCTTAAAACATTTCCTCTGTGTGTTCTTTTTCAGCTTATCATACACAATTTGTATTAAATCTGAAAGGAAGCAGAGCTGCAACAACTTTCTTACCACAGGTACAGTGGTAAGGACGTTAACAAGTGCAGGATCAGAATGTGGTTTTGATGGGGTTCTGTGGTTGTAGGTGGGGTGGTGGTGGTGGTTTTGGGGACGGGGGGAGGAGTTGAAATGAATTCAAGCACCAGCTTCCAACAAAATGAATTCAGTGCAATGGGGGGGGAACAGAACAGGTTCTTAGCCAGGGTCTTAAGGGTATTTAAAGAAGTGTTGTTGATCAGACCTCTCTGCCAAAGCACCTTGGAGATGTGTGAATACCCTGATAAAGATGTACATAGATAACTGATTCTGCAACCTCCCTATCTGTTTCAGTGAGTGTTTTACTGGTTTCCGTACCAAGAAATGCCCTTTTTTCTCCTGTTTTGGAGGTAGAGAGGAAGAGCAGCAATAGAATCTGTTCAGTTGCATGGTTTGTAGGGGCTTGAAATTGGGCCTCAGTGAAAAATAGCCATGTTCTTGGCTATGCAATAATCCTGATCTTTCACCCTGTTTTTGAATACATGTGGTGCAGAAAGATAAAGGCCATCAGCTGGATCTGTATGGAGGAATGGAAATGAAGGGCCATCTGGCACTTTTCATCTCATCATGGAGGTTAAGAATCTTGTTGCTACCAAAAGATTGGAAAAAAAAAATTTATGCTGTGCCAATGGGTTTAATGTTTTCAGTGGTTTTTCATCTGCAGATTGGTTCAAGACCTAATTGTTATGTCTTTAGAAATGGGTAATCTAAGGTGACAGCTTATAAGCATCTGTCTATGACAGAAAGGGAGGTCTGGTGTTATTACACTGTTGTTGTTTTGTTGTACTTGTTCCTGTTGATTAAAACCAGATTTGGTCTAAATCTTATTAGGAAATGAAATCATATATGATTCAGGAGTTCGAGGTGTGCAGTTTGTGGTGTAACAAGACAGTAAGAGAAGGTCAGGGCAGCTTCAGGCTTCTCTTCAAGCCTGGGGTTGGTTGGTCTGATTGGCTTGTTGCAAGTCTGCTTTATGTGGGTAATAAATCTTGACCTCAAAATCTCTGAACTTGGTTTGGGAGACTTCAGAATCGTCTCTCTGTTAACTGCTGGAAATACATGCACTAACACAGTCCCCATCTCTGACTATGTTGGTAAAGTCAGAATAAATAAGATGGGAAAGGACTTCTGGAGGTCTGTGTCAGGATCTCGTGCTAAAAGCAGAGCCAGCTTAGATCAAATTGCTCGGTGCCTTGTCAAATGGAGTTTTGAAACTGTTCAAGAAACAATGCTAATATTTAGTTGGAATTTTCCCTGTTGCAACTTGTGTCATTGCCTCTCATTCTAATGCGTTGCTGGATGCTGTCCGTGGGCAGAGCAAAAGGATGTTCCATCTCCCAAACAGTGACACTCAGTGTGTTTCTGCCTAACCTAGACAATGAGGAGAGCTTCAGTGCATCTAGTCAACAGCTGGGTTCAAATCAGATTTAGTGCAGTGGAAAGCAGTTAGAAGCAGAAAGTCATCCAGCAAAAGTCTCTGCTTTACATTGTGGATCTTCTCAGGGCTCAGAGTAGCATCAAAACTCTGAATATTCACAGCAATTGAAAACATTGCCATTAGGTGATGCAGTTAAGATACAGACTTCAACAGCAAACCAGTCTGTGAGAATGGAGGAACCCCTGAGGACAGTAGAGAATACTTGGGAGACAGGAAGAAGCTTCGTGCCCATTTCTGAAGTGATTTGAGTGTTCCTTGGTATGGCAAATCCTCCATATAGGATGGAAGTAAGTATCAGGAAGAAGGCAGGCTGGCATGTGGTGCTTGGCTCCAAAACTGCTTCCTAGCTTACCGTGACACATCCCCAGAGTCACAGTATGCCCTGCCCCTACTCCTTTAGTAAGATCACTTCTGATGCAGGAGAAGTATCTGCCTCATCTCTGCAGGCTGCTGGAAAGAAGCTGTGCTCTGAAGTTGATAGTGAGTGGCATGCTTAGATAGGTACCATTAGAGCACTGCTGCAGTAACTCATTATCCTTCTTCTTCCTAGCTCAGTGACCCCTTTCAGCCCCTCTCTGCCTCCCCATTGCTCAGGCCAGCTTTTCCTGGCTCACTGCAGCTGGCTGAAAGGGCAGTGACGTGTTTGTAGTGCTTTTGTCAAAGTGGGGTCACCAAATCCTTGATGGAAGCTGGCACCGTGGGCCCCCCTTTATGAGTCATTAACATTTAGCTGTGGTATCCAAGCATTCGCCTGGTTGTCCCTCTCTTTTGCTCTCTCCTGAGTGGTCTAGTGACTGTGCTGAGGCAGGGTTCAGTGCACAGCATCATCCTAAGGCCAGCCTTGGCTGTAATTACCCAGCTCCAACTGCTCTGTTTGCTCTTCTTCATTGCCTTTTCCTTACATGATGTGCTGACAGGAAGGCCCTGGTGCAGCAGTTTTCCCTACAGAAAAGGGACCTGGCGCAGATGCTGCTGAGCTCATTTACCTGGTGTAAAGCTGGCACCTATACCCTGGATCTGCACCAGCACAATCCAGAGGAGAATTTGGTCCTTACCTCAGGCATGGCTGGGACTGTGTGCTCAGAGGAACTCTGATCTCCTAGTGCCTGTGATGGAGTATTTGTGGGGAATAAACCAAAGCCTGGGTACCAGGGGCTCAGAAGGAGCTTCCCTTGTGGGCTGGTCACCCATAGCAGCCCACTGCTCCCTTCCTCCCTGTCCACAGCACCTTCTGGGGGACTGTAAAGGCCAGTTGGAGGATAGATTCAGTGCTGCCACCATTCTTCTCTGGGGTCCTCAAACCCACATTTTGCCTTGGTCTGATCTGTTCTGCTCTCACTAATGCTCACTGATCTCTTTGATAGGGGTGAAGAGGGGATATTTTCCACTGTAGCCCTTTGGGGCAAGAAGGGGGTGTCATGCCACCTGGGGACAAGGAGGGCAGCAGGCTGGTGTTTAGTAGCAGGTCGTAGGTGGTTTTGGATTTGGGGTTTCATGGCAAAATTGTAACATTAGGTTTGTCAGGCAGATTTATCACATCCTGCTGGTGCTAATGAAGGCCAGCAGGGAAGCAGCAGTGAGGGAGGGGGTGAAATAACCTGAGACTGTGCTCACTGCTGGTCAAATGGCTGTCTCTGTATGCTCTGTCGCTCACAATTGCTTGCTAGGAGAGGAGTTGAGCCCAATTCTGATCTATGCTGCAGCAGGGGTGGAAACAAAGAAGCCACATGGAACTTCTGTATCTGACCTGTAGAATCCATGATCAATCTGACTTCCCTCGTCATCCGAGTGCCAGCACTGGGGGATAATATTAGGGAGACAAGTGCAACATTCACTGATTCACTGATGGGGGCTCCTGGCCCCCTTTCAGTGATGTCTCCCAAAGGAGGTTTTTCTTCATGCTTGAGGGCATATTTAGGTTCAATGGTCCTGCTGTGTGGTTGCCCAAGATCTCTGACTTCACTCTGTGCTAGTCGTGCTGTAAGTTCTTTGACACCTAGAGGCAAGCTGCTTTTCCCAAGGCACTTTAAGCAGAGTCCCACTGCACATGGCGTCCTGAGCTCTCAAAGGAAAAAGTGGTAATTGGTCAAGTTATAGCTGTAAATAATAGTCATAGAGTAATGTAAAGCAGGTTCCAACAGCTGGAGAGCTGGTATGAAAACCACAGAGGGCTTTTACAGGCTGTAGTACTGGAGAGGAGTCTCAGATTAAACATGGCAGGGTGATGGGAAGAAAAGAAGGGGGTTCTATTAGAGACATGTGAGAAGCAAGCAGGGAATGAAGGCCAGGCAAACACTGTAGGATCAGCTGAAACAGAGCTGAGGATTTCTGGAGACCCTGGTAAAATGGATCCTGAAGCAAACAGCAGAGGTGTCAGAGCAATGGCACGAGACTTCTGCTCAGTGCCTGGTGAGAGGCGGAGGCTTAAAGAAGTGCTCATGTTCCATAAATCCTCACCTGAATCTATGTTTTGGACTAAGCTTCATCTCTAGCAAGATGAACATCTTGCTGCCCAGTTGTTTTGAATGGTGGCCATACCTAGTAACTTGGTATTCCCACTGCAGTTGAAAACATGGATTAGGTGTGCATGACTTTAAACCACATGGGTCTGTTGTGGCTTCCCCCTGATCTTTAAGATGGTCCACAGAAATTCTTGGGCTGATCTTGTACTAAACTGTTCAGAATCGGAGTCTTTCATTCTTTGGGTTGTATTAGATACCTTCACTATTTGAACTGAGATCTAACTGGCCTACCTGTTATTGCCTTGCTATAGAAAGATTGGATTTTTAGGTAGGAGCTTGGTCAGGCTTCAGTTCACGAAGCTGCAGAGCAAACAGCAGGTTGTACAGCTGGAAGCAGAG